ATATGTTGAACAGGTTAACCACTAATGGCATCACAGTGAGGTGACGATATGATTTTATGTTAGGGACATGTTCATATACATGTTTTAGAAAAGCCCCCCTCCCTCAAATAAGCTATAGTTTTCTTCAAACATTTCTAAATTTAATTATGTATTAGGCCTATGTGATTTTTAAACTTTTTTCAAATTTTAAAAGTATCAAAAGACATAAAAGACCTAAGCTTGTAGCATCAGCAATTAAAGAGATATCCGTTATGATTAAATAAGAAAAGCAATCCTCCAGAAATAAACCTGAATGTTGTTTGAAATAATTGAAATAATTGTTTTTTTTAAACCAATATCTTAAGATCTATTTTTTCATTATTGAGGAATGTTTTGTATGACCTTAATATGATATATTCTTACGGGAGAATGGAAACTTACCTTTTCACATATGTTACAGTTAACCTCTGTTTAAAAAAATTAAATTTAAGTATATAATTATTTTTTTTACATCAATTAATATTTTGTGCTCTTTTTCGTTTCAAAGGGGAGTTCCTATACTGAAAATGATGACCTCAACAATATTGAATTTCAATTATCTTGTCGTGCATTGGTAAGTAAAGTTGGTTTGCAAATCTGACCAAATTAATTTATTGTATGCATTGCACATATTTTAGAGAGTCTTAGATTTGAGATCGGTTAACTGTAGTAGATGATATTTAAAGAAAGAAAGAAATAGATCAATTATGAATTTCATAGCTCATAAGTTTTTCCTGAGACAAGTAGTGGAATACAAAAAAAAAGTGCTGCCTATGAAATTAAATCTACTTCTCTCTGAATGCAGAATGTTAAAATTTAAAAGGAACAGCATTAACTGTTTGTTGTATAATATCAAAAAGTGTGCTTTTTTGTTATTGTCATAAGATAATAACATTACAAATTGCAAGCTTTAGGTTTAAAAATTTAAAAGAAAATTTAAAGGTAAAACTTGTTAAACTAATTTTTGTACTCTTCATTTCAGAAATACCCAACGCAAACAAAGTTTTTCGTAATGCAGTTGGAGATTCGAGATATAAATGATAATGCACCTATTTTTACAAATGCCTCTTATTCTGCTTCAATCCTAGAGGTTAGTCAACTTTATTTTAATAGAAATTAAAATACGATACCGAAGGAAAACCAACTAAAAATGTGTGAAAGTTGTGTAGAGATAAATTTACAAAAAAGTCTTGACCTGTGGAACATGGTGGATTCCGGTGCGTATGACAAGGGAATTTATGAAAATATAGGCATTGACGGTTCTGTCGCCATGCGATAGGTTAGAGATATGACAAGCACGACTCAGAGCAAAGAACAAGATTTTCAAAGTATTGATGCTTATTCACAGAGCCTGACAAACTAACCAAATCGAGCTTAGGTATCATGAATAGTACAATTTTAAAACACCCTTACTCACAATAGTAATGCATCAAGTTTGCTTCTATATATCCAGGATAAGAGAAGATTTTCAAAGAATTAAAGAAATGCAATTTTACTATGTAATCAATCTAGCCTCACCGTTATTCGAACGAAAACAGAAATATGCCGTTCACCTGAGTTAATCGAGTTGTACACAAAAGTAGGACGTTCGACGTTATTTTTGAATGGTAAAAAATGGTACTTGACCTTTGTGCGTAGAAATGTACGGATTTCTCGTTTATATATAGAAGCTAAGATCCTAAAGGCCCTTTCACAATTGGCGCACGAGCACTTTACAACACTGCGATGGGAAAATTTTAGCTTCGCACGAGCTATCGCATACGTTGCACGATGTCTCGCATTCATTGCATGTGTTTTAGTGGTCGCATCAGGTCGCCTCAAAATAGTCAACATGCACACTATTCAGACGCGACCAAATGCGATCCAAATTATCGCAATTCAACGCACGAATATTAGTACGAACGTTTTACAACGTTTTATGTACTCATAAGACTGATGCACGATTTTTTAAAGATCGTAGATTTAATCGCAGCTGTCTTTGTGTGTGTTTTGCGACCATGAGACTGTTGCTGGACATTGCTCATGTAATCTTGCAACGTTTTACTACCATTGCTTGATTTATTACCTTCAATTGCAATGCTTTGCAACAGGTATATATTATACCGTGTATAATTAAAAGCATCTTAACTATGTCAACTGAAGAGCGTAGGAACGGGTGGTATGTATACCCGGCCCTCAGACTCGCACGAACATTCGTACTATGGAATGCATGAGCGCACGAGCAGTCGTACTGACGCACGTTCAATCGTCCAATTACCTGATCAGTCGTGCAATCCTATAGCATTATCTTACAACACTCGCTTTCATTCTACAACAGTCGCATCTAGATGCAAGATATATCGCAAGATTTATGCACAACAGTCGCTTTAGACGTGCGAATTTCGTTCGAATACTTCTTTAATATGCGATTATTTTGGCAACAGTTTACGATCATAGACAAAATATTCGGTCGCATGAATATTTTGTCGCTTCTGCTCGTGCGCCAATTGTGAAAGGGCCTTAAGATAAACCAATAGATACGGAATTGTGTACTTGCTCTGCTGACAATTGATTTAATTAATTAAATTTTTCAAAATATATTTCAAAATATTAAAATAAGTAAGTAAATCAAGTTGACTTGAAAACAGATAGTGAACTTATTTTTTAATATATAAATTAACAGTCAGCACCAATGGGAACAATAGTGTATTCTGGGGTAATAGCTACAGATTGGATGCAGGAATCAACAAAGAAATCGAGTATACCATAGCTCAAGGAAATGAAAGCTTAGTAAGTACTCTTTTTTATTACATTTTCTCTGGTGAATGGCTGTAATATATTTCTTGAGTACGTGATAAATTATGGATGTATATTTCTCAGTGAATTTTAAGTATGAAATGTGATATTTTTTACTGTGAAAATTAAAAGATTCCCTTAAGTCTCTCCGTTTCAAGAAGTGAAAAACCTATGCATCCAGACAGCATAATTATAATTCTTTGATTTCAAATAATTTAATTTTTTCCTGACAAGTTTCCAGTTCCATTCATGAAACTAGTTCTATACAAGTTTCAAACCATCAAGCCCCGTCATGTATTTTAAATAAGTTTTAATTTTCGGTTATTTAACAAAAATCTTTTTCAACTTCTTTGAAATGACTACATTAAAGTAAATCGAATTTGGTATATATGTCATTGATAAGTTAAGAAAAATATGGCAAAACGAACGGTATTCAAGCTCAAAAGTCCATCAAAACAGTACAAATCAGGAGCAAGGCAAACAAGAGGTTCTTAAACATCAGGGGTGGGATCAGATGCCATGCAGAAATAAGTGCCACCGGTCACACCCACCATTAAGTCTACCATACTTTGTATTCCACATAACATCGTACGAATATCAATCTTTTAAACTATATTTGTGTACTTAAATGACTTGCAGGCAAATAATAGCTTGATTACATTGAACAAGTAATTATTCTATCTAATGCATATCGAACATGTTCTTTATCGCTCAAAATCACTTTACTTACTCAAAAACATTTAACAGATAAACTGTTTTAATGACTGAGATAAGCAGTGACCAGATATCAAAAGGAATTCATACAATTTTAGCACGGATTTAATTATCAAAATTTGTTCAATGATTTTTATCCCTATTTTAAATTTCACAAAGCTTATATAACCTGAAAATACATATAAAAAGTAATTCCTTAGCGTAAAAGACAATAAGGCGACTTCAGAAAAGTTAATGAAATAATTATAGTTGTGTGAATATCTGTTTCATACTTTCTTTTATAAACACTATGAAATAAAAAAAAAAGTTTTCACGCTAATTACGAAAGATTTCTAAATTCTGAAAGGACGTCAATCAGTGATTGATGCAAGGGTGAATTAAAGATGATTATTGATGACACAAGTGAAGTTACTATAAATTTATGAACGAGGATTTTTTGTCTAACAATTATTTGTACAATTTTAAATAAACAAGGTTTCTAATGTTGTAGCAGTCGCTCTTCGTCATTAATAACTGCGTAACGTTAGGTTGGTTCCCTGTGAAATAATCTTTTTTTTTCCGTTGGTCTTTATTGCATATTATTTGATCCTATACACTCTGATTATGTGCTCCCTGGACTTTGGAATACTTTTCGAAGAAAAGAATGGTATGTCGAACTGCTGAACATTGTTTTCTTTTTCGCAAAGGGACTACTCTTTTGTGTGATATGTTCGAACATTTACTCCATAATATAAAAACTTGACAAAGAAATAACTTACAAACATTGATATCCCTGGTTTATCGAACCGGTTTGGATCAATCAAAACTATATAATTTCATCCCTACTTACCTGTAATTATTTATGTGTTTTTTTTTTGGTATGTACTATATATGTTTTATATTGAATAAATGTAATTTGTTTTATCTAAAGTTGTTAAACGATATATGCTTTTCTGAATAATTGGCATTTTTTGTTAAAGTAGATTTATTTTTCATTTGATTTTAGCCAATGCAGTACTTTGATATTGAAAAGAAATCCGGGAAAGTTTTTTTGAAACAAGGATTATGCGCGACAACAAGTTCTCAATTCCAGGTAAAATAGAATGCAGTCGAAATTAAGAACGATTTTTTTTTCAATATTGCCATCAGTACGGTCTCTTTCATGTTTTCTTTGGGTTATTTTATTTTGATTGGGCGACGTTCTCCTTATATAATCCTTTAAAATGAAACCCTTATTGAGAGATACATTTATATGGCATAAAATTTGTTTCGATTTAACTTTAATATAAAAATATTGTCAATCAACTGATTATGCACAAGTAATAGTAAAAACGAATGTTTACTTTGCTTTACTTTCTTTAATTGCACAGTTTAGTGTGATTGCGAAAGATAACGGTTCCCCTCCATTAACTGGAGAAAGTATGGTGACTATTCAAATAATCAGGAATTCCCAACCTCCAGTGTTCCTAAACACACCCTATAGATCCGCCATAACCAGAGCTGTCCAGGACAACTCGGCCTTACCCGGAGTCAGTGTAGCAACCACGGACGCTGATACAGTGGTAATATGATAATAGTGTATGACAGCATAAAGGGATGCAAAAAACGTGTGTCTTAAAATTCTTTGTTTAAAAAAAGTTAATTAGTCATATTTTATGGAGCCAAACATGTTGTTGAAACAAACTCGAAAGTTAACTGGTGCATTAAGACGATCTTAATCAGATTCTTTGGTTGTCCTCCCCGATCGACTGGAACGACTTTAAACTCTATTTAACCACCAGGAAGAAATCATTTTTTAAGGATTCTGAAAATAAGATTCTTAAAATATAGCAATGTTGTTGAAAATTTCTGGAAAAAAGGGGGGGGGGGGTGTCGGCTACATGTGCCTACCAACCCATTTTTTTAAATCCTGAGTTGGGAGATGGCACAAAAACATTTTAGTCAGAAATTTTTATTGGCTATGCGTTGATAATTATTCCTTGTGCAGAGCCCCTTCAATGTTGTCTCAGTGACGGTGATTGGAGATGATTCCGCAGTGAGTCTATTCAGACTGGATGGATCCAACATTCGAGTTCAGAATGCAGCCAATTTGGCAGCAGACACTGCCAATACTTACAAGGTAAGAACTCAAAACCTATATTTCATAAGACTTACGTCTACTTTCTATTCAAAATTCCAGAAAATGTAAAAAAAAAAAAAATCTTCAGACTTTTATATCCACTTGTGGCCGTTCATTGAAAGTAACCCACGGATGATTCACGTCGATTCTCTCTATCAACACATAATTTTTAGGGATTTGTGGTTTGTGACGATGGTGGCATTGTACATTTCGACTGTCAACTCTTACTTTATTTTGAATGTCTATAAAGTGGGCCTTGATTGGTCACCTTAGTCACTGAGGTAAC